AGTCAATAAGACAAAGCGAAGTCCAAGGATGGGCAGACCTTTTGTATTAGTGTCCAATCATGAATTCACTTTTTCCTGCCTTAGGTTTTGACTTTGACCTGTGGATAGGTTCACACATAAACAAAAGACTGGTCAGTGCAGCAGACTCTAGTGAGATTTACAGTGTGTCAGTGTATGTCGATACACAGGAAGTCCCAATTCCCTGCCCACTCACAGGCGTACGCTTGTGCTGCGCTGTGCTCTCTGGACGGGCCGTGTGCACCGCGCCTCTGCTAACATGTAACACAGACACATGTGTGGTCAAACAGAGGAGACAACGATCTACAGTCTGCTTGCAAGTGTTCTCTCATATTCTTTGGAAAAGTATTCTGGAGTTCCAGTCCAGTAGAGCTGTTTGTTTGTGTTCCTTCAGATGTTGGCTTAACCCACAAATGTAATCCTGTTAATTGATTTGAACCATTTTAATGGAATTATGTTTTGACAAATACAGTTGGAGGATATCCATACTGTGATGGTGACTGAGCTATCTGCAGTCCACACAAGCTAGCAGCATTAGCATGTCTAAAGCTTCTGTGCTGAAATAAAAGCTCACATGTAAGTATGCTCTGGCCAAAGCCTGGCTGTGGCAGAAACAGGGGCGGCTGGTAACAAGGGTGATTACAATAATCCATCTGGCCCACAGCCAGACACTTGCCCTGCGGAAGAGTTGCCACAACAATACTCACACTTGTCAGCTATAAACAGTAAGGTCTGAAATATGTGGAGCAGGTCAGCCAGCGGAGCGGGGCATTAGAAACACGATGAGGAATGTAAACCTGAAGAGCACTGTTGACAGCAGATGTGAGGCCATCACACAGACCCTCGCTCTCACCACCAACTTCACTCATGATTCACCTGAGAGCGCAGCAACACTACAAACAAACACCTTTGAAGGCAGCTCTGGTGTCTATAGACATTCCACATTTACAAGGTACAAAGACATGATTTTGAGAAATGTAATATCCTCTCTACCAGATGGGTCATGATGGCTCATTGGTTGGGATGCCTGTCTATATGTGGGACTTTTATGCAGAGTTGCATGTTCTCCTCGAGTCTGGACGGGTTACCTATGGTCTGGACCCCATATTTTCCCCTATCAACCCTAAACAAAATGCTAGTCCCCATCACTCTTGATCCTGCTTTAATATCTGGTACTGCACTGCATTAGTGCGCTGCTCCAGGTCCCCAGAGGCCCTGGCAGAAGGGCGAGTCAAACAAACAAACACAGCAAATTAAAATAATTATGATACAGCATATTTGTTTCCTTTGCTTCAGTCACATGTCCATAGTGTTCTGCATGTCCAGTCTGAGTTCTTTGGAATAAATAAGATTATGGAAAAGTGAAGAGGCAGATTCAAAGCTGTGTCACAGGCCTCACTCAGAGAGACACTGATAAGACCAGAAACAGGACGAACACAGCTCCAGTTACATCCTCATCAATGATTCAGAGACACCAACACAGACCAGAGCATCAGACCACAGCAGACCTACAGTGGACTCACACACCCAAAATGCACATGCATTGAAGTCCCTGCTAATGTGGAAGATAACCTTAAAGCTAAAACACAAACATTAAAACAACAAATTTGTTCATCTTGATGTTAGTGCAAACTGTATATAAAATATTAGTCTTCTTCATGTATTTATCATGATAGTTCTGTTACTATTACTGGCCATAGATATACATTAGGGAAATATAAAACATGTATGCAAATTTAGAAACATTTCACCACAATATTTTAACAAATAAGCTTCAGCATGTCCTGGGGCAGTTGAACAGAGGCGTCTTTCGTTTCCATTTGCTGTGTTACTGATCTTGTAATGATTAGCTTCTGAGGCCACATGAGAGAAGCTAACAGACTAACAGCAAGGAATGTTTAGTGGAAATGACTTTTTTTATGTCCTGTTTTTGTCATTCTGACCATAGAGACACAGATACACAGTAGACTGTTTGTGTAAGGATGTGCGCTGGCCAGTTTCACAGAGGAATCACCAAACGGTTGGGGAATAAAAGAGGAAAAGACAATCAGGCACAAATCACCATCAAAGGAGCCTTGAGAAAGCAATGCTAAACAATTTCCTAAAAATATATATATGTGCCATTCTTCTGACAAGTTTGGTATATTTTAAACATCCAGATCCAATGCATTAACATTTCAGACAGAAAAGACAGAATATGAATTGCTAAACTTACCATTCAAAGTTCAATTGCAGTTTCATCTACGACCCTATGAGCAACCACTGTACGATTTACTCAAGACTGTTAAAAGGAGAAAGTGTGTGAAGGAATGTGAATAAAATGTCAGGAAACCACAGAGATAGTATCAATGTAAAACAAGACGCCTCAGATGTTCTGTCTGCTTTTGATGATTCATCTAAACTGAAGTTCTTTCAATAAAGATGTTGTAACTCAAACTCAAAAGAGCCAATATTATCAAGTGTTTTCCTTCCAGGACCTAGCACTAAGGCTCCTATTCATGATTTGGTCTGGCCAGCCATTACAGTAATAACTTGCCAATTCACTGATGTAACTTCCCCAGCTCAATGGCCACACTATGTTTATTTCCTTTTGGATCTATTATTGGCAGATCCTGAGGAAAAATATATGAAAAGTTATAATTTAGGCCAAACAATATGAGAAATTGATTTAAATAGATAATGGAGTTTTATCTTCATTTTCCTGGCTTCAACATTTTTACTCACTGTAATCAAACGGATATAGACCATCAAAAATGCAAAACGGAAAATCTGATCATATTTTCAGACCAACAACATTATACAAAACGTTGCCTCCTTGAGAGCGATGTTGGAAAAAAGCTGGAGGTTTTATAGGCCTGTTCTCTGTTCTCTCCATACCTCAGAGAAACAGTGTTGTAAAAACGTGCCCACTGTCTGACCCACTTTCCATCACAGACGTAATCTCCTCAAACTTGAGCCTGTTCAGCTGCGGTACAGCGAGCAGAGGACCAGGCAGTGTGCAGGGCAGATCAGCTGTGCCCACATTACACTGGTCTAAAACAACCAGACTTAGACACACAAGCAGAGAGAAGGCTTGGTCTATATTGTCTGTATTGTGGACACAGCTTATGTATTAAATAGATATAGCTAGACCTGTCGTGATAAAAAATTTTGAAGCACGATATATTGCTATAGAGAAATATGATGATAAGCGCTGATACTGACAATACTTTATGCCGCTGACACAAAACAGGATAATCCCAGCAAAACATTTTTCAATAAAGGATCATTAAAAGCCCTGCTGCAACAAATAAATAACAGAAAGTACCAATAATTTGCCATAGAAGTTATTTATTCCACCCTCTACAAAATAGCTAAAATCTTCCCACTATTGCAAAGAAAATTTACACATGAAATATATTGAGCTACAAAAATTATTGTTCCAGCTTTTCATATATTTAAATCAATATAGTAATTATCGTGACAGGCCTAGATATAGCCATTATAAATTCCTTTAGAACAATATTCATTTTGATAGCAGACATTCCCACAGCATTAGCGATGGTTCGTTAATCAATAATCTTTATCTTCAGGTCTCAATATAATCGTAAGAACTAAAAACACTGTGATATTAGTTAGGTTAATTAATTAGTTAATTAGGTTCCTTGTTCCTCGGTCAGTAGCTCAATAGTACACAAAATTCTCTTAAAATAACAGTAATAAAATAGTAATATAGATTTTTTAAAAGTGTGTACCAAGTACAAGAGGCTTAAAATATTAACCATAGTAATAATATACAAAATTACAACAAGACAAAAAAAAAAGGCCATCTTTACAAACAAGCTTGAAGCTGTTAGGATATGAGTTTAAAAATGTGTGCCGACTGATAGCAAGGAAAGCATACACCACGAAACAATATGTAAACAAGTTATTGTCCCTGATGAGCAGAGAACGCATGCAGGCCATGTGTTCCTTGGTCTCTGGGTTGCTAAGGACACAAGCAGCACTTATGGGCCTCCATGAAGTCATCAGAGCTGCTTCTGCACTCTGTCTGACACCCTCGGCTCCGGTTTCCCCCTGAAACTGAGACCAGACCAGGGCCCACAACAGGCAACACACTGTGCTCATGTGCTGCACAAAGCTTAAAAATGTGTTTTTGGTGAAAATTCATGTTCTTCATTTGATTTTAAACCTAAAGAATTTTAAAATGGTATGCGTAACTATTACTGGTACTGGTAAACATTAGCTTTCTAAATGATCATTATTAACTCAAAAAATGTTAAGTGTGCGGCTGTGCACACACATTTTAAGCAGATAAGAGCAATGCATGTTTATAAAGAGTAGGACTACTATTCTATGGGAACATAAGATGAAACATCAAAATTTGATTTTAGATCAGCCTCTGACCCTTTCACATCATCACTTACCAAACTTGCCTGAGCAGTAAGGCGGCCTGAGAGAGAAGTCTGCCGTGAGTGTACGGCGAGCTAGCATCAGATGACAGATAAGATGAATAATGGGAGAACACAGAGATGCCATTAACAAATAATATTCATTTGTCCTAATCCTTTTAAGACAATGACCCTTCACTTTCTCACACAGCCCCCCAGGGACGACTCAGCATGCCTGATAATATTTTATAGTTTACACTAGTGACAATCATGTCACACACATTCTGTTCTGAAGAGGACTTACAGTTTGGCTTATAAATAAAAATGCATGTAGGCTACTAATATGTTACACTTATGAATATGTGCTTTATTGTAACGTTACACAGTAAGTTGGGTGTTCAAACTACAATGTTCATTAACACTGACAATAACTGCTGTGCTCAGTGCTCCAGTGGTGTATTCGTTATAACAAGTTAACAAAGCGATTGCCCATAAGACAAAGCAGGTGATGAGCAGAAACCACTGGCACTGGTCACTACATTAAACGTTATTCTCTCCTCGCGGTAATTACATTATTATTTATTAAAGAAACGTGTATTTGCGTGTACTTACCGCGAACAGACTGGCGGGATCCTTATTCCCAGTGTGTCTGTTGTGATCACTGTCTAGTGTTGTCCCCAGCAGATGGCTTTCGCCGAACTTGCTGAGGCTAGCAAGCTAGCTAACAATTAACCGGTACAAAAACAGATTTTTGTCTTGAATTTATCCGCTGCAAGCTGTCTGACCATAAAAGAAAACAAAGGCGTGCCACGCAAATAGAGAGACCAGATGAAGGTTGAGATATTTGGCTTTGTGTCCTTGTTATTGTAAGTTGTAAATTGTCCCCTTTCAGAAAATATCCAGTGCTTGATTTAAAATGACAGTGTCCGTGGTGCGCTGTCCTTTGTTGTGAGCATCTCAACGTAAACACTGAGCTGAGTTCGCTGAGCGTACGCTGGAGGGCGGAGCCAAATTGAAAAAAAAAAGAACACGCTGATGCTTTCGAAAAGCATTATGGGACATGTAGTTCACCAAATAAGTGAGCTCTGCACTGTAGGCTCTACAGTGTTTTACAGCCTTTTATAATAAGATGATGGAATCAGTGCTGGTTGCAAATCATAGCTGAAGAAGACGCACCATTAACAGAACTATTTTTGTCTTAGTAATAAAATTTTATTTACAGAGCAGGCCAAATTAATCTGCAGAGCTATGGTTTCAGTTATCATTAATCATGGCTCCGGAGGCTATGCAACTTGGGAAACCTTAAGTTTTATGTGATTTGCGTTGTTTTGGCATGAATTATTTTTATTCTGCTATCCTACTTTTATTCAAATTTGTACTGGTGGATCCATGTCTGGCAGGGAATAGGTCTACAGTTTTGTTTTTGCATAGTCACACAAACTTCTCAAATAGGCCAAAAATGTAATCCATATGTTTATGCATTTTTCAGCAGCCTACGTCTCTGTAAGCTCACTCAACACCAGATGCATGGATGTTCTAGACCATTTTGCAATAAGATCCTGAGACATCTTGAGGGCCATTTGCACACTACCGCATATAACTTACATAATCCTGCACTCATTTTAATCTGTGTTTAACCCTGCTGTTTACATTGCTATGGTTACAGCACCAACCCCACTCCTGGACGTTTCCAGTGCTGGAAGTTGCAGACACACCTTCCTTTGATTCTTCGGGTGAAATGCTGCTCTGGCCAGTTCCTTCTTGATGGATGTTTTGACATGTGCTTCTCTTTCCAAGAGCCAATGGGCTGCAGTTCCATGTGAAGCGTCAGGAAATTATGAAAAATTGAGCAGTGAGGCGAACACTTGGACCCTGTGGTTGGACTTTACCACCAGGCACTATGTGCTTTTTAAATCTCTTGACAAACTGTACATGCAAATAAATGTCTCTATGCAACTAATCAGATAAACTTTGGTCTATAATCATAATATTATGCTTATTATTGCATTATAATCAAAGTGTATAAATCAAACACTGAAAATTGCATTGTACTTCAACTGTGCTTTTGCAACTGCAAAAAGATCCTCAAAATATAGTGTGCAGAGTCAACCATATTTGCAGTTAATTGATATACTGTTGAGTTAAATAAAGCTAAATGAGTTGGATCACTGCAATAGTCCTAGTCCTGCAGCCGCAATGGTCAAATATATGACATTGTATTAAGGGCAGTGTGTTCTCAGAGAGACTGTTCTTGTGTGTTGTTGTTGTTGTCTGATAAGGCCCAAACATAGCAACAGCTGGAGTGTGCAGAAGTCAAGACGGCTGCGTGAAGCAGTGTGTGACAGGATTATGTGATAGAAACATGCTGTGCTCATGTGTAGCCAAATATTAAATAACTCTACTGTCCCGTGTGTGAGGGCCGAGCCGAGCTGTGTTGTCATGCTGCCATGGTGACAGTAACCATGCGCAGAATAATGTTTACAGAATGTTTAGCATATCACAAACCAGGCACACGGGCCGACCGGACCAGATGAATTACATGGAGGGTGTGTTTTCTTCAAACTGACACATCAAATCTCACCATTGTTTGGTCTTGTTTGTCCTCATTATATAAAATTAGCTGACCCACACATGACCAGATTCTTTGTTGAAAAGTCCAACTCCCTCGCTCTGCTTTAAAGAATCTCCCAGCAACACAAAATACATAGTAATACAAGCAGTGGTGATCTTGCTATATTTGCTACTTGTTTTGAATTTATTATTACTATTTATATTTTTTGCTCTTTGTTATTATATTTATTGTGATGTGTGAGCTCTTGTGTCCAAATAATTCCCCTTGAGGATCAATAAAGTTTGTGTAAATAATGAGGAATACAAACTTTATTATCGCCATATAGCGTTATTCTGAGACAGATTCATTTGGTTGATCATATTTAATATAATGTGTATTAGGTCTCAGATGTTTTGAACTATTGGATGTGCAAATATTAATAGCCTATATAAAGCAGAAGGCAAATCCATAACTTATTTGCCTGCACACGACTGAGTGTAGTCTTGTCTTATTCTGTTTTGAATGTTGGACCTTGCTGTCTGGATGGGTGCTGGCTGGTATCAGAAAATGCATTGATCTGGATAATCTTTAACACGTTCCTAGCACAAGATCTGAAAATTTGTTTTTAGACCCTTTACTTTTTGGAAATATTGGTTTAAAAAATAAAAGAAAATGATATAATCACCTAAATAGACAATACAATATGCCCAACCCAGGACAAAACATTTCCTGGTATCCTTACTTTAAACCAGTATTATAGAGTACAATAGACCAGGACCAAACCAAGTCAACATTTATCTCTAAAATGGATTCAAACGAGGACAAATGTGAGTCCAACCTTAATTTGCAACAGACACTACTAATAGAAGCCGATGCACCCACAGTTTGGGACACACTGACATAAGTATTTTGCGGTAGTAGGTTTAGTTTTATAATTACTTCGTTAATGATAGTAGGATTGGATAGAGCAGTTTTAAGGTTAAGTGAAAAAAAGTCTGGTAGAGAACGGAATGATATGAATCAAAGGCAGCTGCCTCCGCATTGTCATGGTAACATAAAACACAGTGATGCAAGGAAGTCATTAAACAAATCTGTTTCAAAGAGCCCTCAGGCTGTTGGTAACCACGGGAATAACTCTATATACTTCACTGTGAAAGGCAGCACCAGACAGACACAGGGCATATTTCTCAACAAACTTTATTGTTTCAAAATCCAAGAATGTGTCATAACATTAAAGTGTCCACTGGTTACATGCCCTTTAGGGAGAAACACAGGAGGTAGATGACTGAGAATGGTACTTTATACTATCCAACTTTACAAAGAATGAATAGGCTGTGTAAACACTGTAAACAATTCAAATAATCTTTTTAGTGGAATAAGGCAATGATTTAAATAATATCTCTTTCTAAAATAAACCATTGGGGATAGAAACATCTAATATTTAGCCCAAGCATGTCATAATATGATTTTTTAAGGCATTTGTAAACAAAATGTACTGATGTTCAGTAGGCAGAAAAATCTACATAACAAGGAATTCATGTTTAAAATTCTCAGTTCAAGACATATTAACCCAGCACAAATATAAATTTCTGCTAAATAAGCTTCCTAATAAAATTTAAAATTCACAGCAAACATTTGTGTATTTAAATATTCTATAAATTGTGCTGGTTTAATGTAGCTATATATTTTACACTTTCAAAAGCACTTGGATAACTGAACACTGGCAGCCATGTCCTTCTAAGGTTCTTTTCAAACAGAAACATTGAGCCTGGTCAGCAGACATTGACGAGAGAAATCTATTTAACAGTGCATAAATACATTGAGATTAACACATAGCATAGTGTGCTCATGTACATTTTCATCCTTTATGGCCAGCATTGTGATTGTGATGAAAACATACAGTGAATGCAAAAGTTTATACACTGTAGCAAGAAGTAGACTTTTCTTTCTTTACTAATAGTGTTGGCACAAACATATGAGAGATTAATAAACTACATACAATTAAAAGCATAATTAAAACGCAAGTACAAATATTTTAAAACTGACAAAATACTAAGACGAATCTTCATTAATCAGAATTATAAATGTTTTTTTTTTCCCTTTTTACAAATTTGAACCAGACATTTGTGTGTGTGCAATAAAGCCATTCATCTTGGTATCAGCATTTGGTTTCTACAGTAAATGCAGGCACTAAACTTCAAAAGTCAACCAATTCACAGCTGAGCACCTTTTAATGTTAAGAAGATGTGACACATCTTCCACTTCCTGTCATGCACAGACAACGCAGGATACAAGAGTCAGATGAAATAGTGAGCTAGTCATTCAAAAGGGGGCTTCAACGTGTCCTCCCACTTTTAGCAACATATGGGTTACTTCTATTTTTTGTTATCATAAAGACTAAAGCCTAGAAGAAAAGAAAAAATATTACAACCTGAGTTTTGTGCATGACCTGTTCTTAGACATGTAAGATGGTAATGTGCACAGTATGAGAGCAAATATACACCTTTTTATATCCAAATACAACATTACAGTATTTGTTCTGTTTCTGCATTCAGGTGAGCAGGACTTCAAACATGTAGTGCACTGGCTATAGGCATGTAGAATGAAGCTATCAACAGTGTGTTTCTTCTTCTCTGTGTATCAGCTTGTTCACAGCCCCATAGCCCAGCAGTTTGTTAGCACGGGCCTCACCTGTCCCCCAGAATGAGTAACATTCACCAAGAGGAGACACTCATGTCCTTAGCTTCAGAATGACAGTGGCCAGAATGAGAAAGAAAGTGTTCCAACCAAGAGTGACTGCGAACCCACGCCACACCAACATCTGGTTCAGACCCCAACCTGGAAATAGAAATATATCATCAGAAAATCTACAGCTTTCAATTTGCTGGCAAAACAACTTGATGAGTCATAGGTGGCCAATGGATAGTAATCGAACCAAACATGTTTTGAAGATTCATGATTATTAAATTAAGTCAAAACGGGTTAGTTTGCCACAATGGGTCAGTATGGCAATAATTATTAGATCCTGGTGACTCTCAACATCTTGACCCAGACACACCTTGAATCCCCTTTTTGGTCGTATTCTATTCTCTTAGCATGCTTTATCCTCAGTATATTGTTTCGATTATAATTAAACCATTAATCTATTGAGCAAAGCAGTTCTTTCTGTTTGTCTAATGTATCAGCATTCCTTGAGGTTCGGTAAGAGGAACATCTCCTCTCACTTCCTGTTCAGGGCCTATATCATGTAACATGGAGGTAGCACGAGCTGCTGTCACATGGCATTGTCCACACAGACGAGGTCAACACAGATATGGGCAAAGCAGGGACAGCAAGGGAAACCACTACACCGTCTACTCCAGGTGGATGAATTACACAGGATTGAGAGCTGATTAAACATTTAGGGCACAAACCGAACACTGGACAGTAGCTGCATATGTGGGCACTGAAATGTGCCTCTATCAAAATAACTAGTGAGTTGTGGGGATATTATATTATGATAACTGTGTTTGTATTGTGTTGTATTGTGTAAATTATGAGTATAAGTTACCTCTGTACATGATACAACGAAGGGACTCAGCAGCAAACGTTTGAGGCAGGGCCATGCTGAGGTAGCGAAGAGGGTAAGGAATGCACTCAACAGGCCAAATAACACCTGCAAGGACAGAAAGTATAGAACTAATTTAGGATATCCATATTAAGCTACAAATACAAGTATACTTACAAAACAATAGCTTAGTTTTAGGTCAAGGTAATGAAATAATTTAACTAAAGCTTGGTAAACATTGTGCAACTGATTATGTCTCACTGTCTAAAGCTGGAAAGAGACGAAGGAGGGGCATCATGTATTTTTGTACACTAATGCACTCTATGGCTACAACAGCGAAATGGCTGGGAGAAGTGGATAATGTAATAATCACATTGGCAACTGGGAAACACATTTATCTAATACAGCACATATTCAATATCAGTAATTATAATGTAGATATTATGTATTAAAAGACAAAACAGCTTTTGTAATTGTGAGAGAAGAAAGATTATCAATTACACACTACTACATTCATACCATACTCCATAAAACTGTACAAGTTATCATTATGTAATATATAACCTTCTGTTCTACCAATCATTATTTCATCTTTGCACTGTTTATCCTTACGGCCACTTGTATATAGCCGAGATATATTTTGTATTACTATATTTCTGTATTTTATTTGTATTTGTACATATAAATTTCTATAATTATGCCTTATTTGAAGCCAGTCTCTTGCTATTTGTGCCACTTACTTAGAATTTATTATTACCATTTATACTTATTATTATTTATTGTGATGTGTGATCTTTTGTGTCCAAATAATTTTCCCTTGTGGATCAATAAGACTAAAACAGTAAAATACTGAAATGTTAATTACACTAAATAAAAGTTGGCATTTAGTGTGACCCACATTCCAAAGATAAAATGCACTAATACTATTATCAGCAAAAAGGAATCTATGAACATGCCCATTCATGCATGCAAGCTCTGATGCTTACCACTGATCATGAGGTTTGGGTAGAAGATGCCCAGTGCAGCCTGGTTAGCACTCTGCTCATCATCAATGGCAGATGAGATTACAAGACCAAAGGAGATCCCAGTCACTCCTTGGAGCACGATCAATATGATGATGAGCACCAAAGAGCCTTCATTCGGCATCTACAAACAAGCAAATACAATTAATGGTCGTGTTTATTACAGAAAAAATGTAAATAAAGAATAAAAATATAATATTATACTAAAATCTAATACACTTCCACAAATGTGCAGTTTGTTAGTGTATTGTTTAACAGTTATGTACCAGCATATTAATATTTTTTTATACTGAAGTTCTGGGTGAAAAAACAATAAAAAAATGTATTCATGTAAACAGGAGGGATTTTAACTAACACAGGAAGAATAATACAAACACATGAGATTAAACTGACTACTCTTTCCATTTTTATGGGGCAAGACTGTATCAGAGTGCACACGACCCTCTTCTTAGACACTATCTGTCTCCCCTGACAACGTGCAGAAATAGACCTGTTCAGAGGGTCACATGACCAGCCGTTACCACAGCCATCAGGGGCTGTTGTCGTGGCAATCCTACAGTGATAAGAGAACACAACACAGGAACTGATTTATAGAGTGGAGGTCTCGTTGAATTTAATTAACACACATACAAGAGCACACACAGTGACTGACGGTTCACCTCTATAAACCAGTGAACCTGTCCTGGGGTTTTAGAAGCACTATCTCTATAAAGCCTTCATTGTTGCTACGTGAGCCCGTTCTGTCTTTGGTTGAATATTGTATCCATAAAAAAATCAATAAAGACAACAATTTTCACATTTTGCTTGGTTTTCACATACAAACATGGAATTTTGGCATGTTCAAATGAATAAATATAAATCTAGTACCTATGCACATGGCACTTGATTGGAAATTGATGTAATTTTTTGACAAAAGAAATTTATGTAAAACAAATGATGGAAAAACAGGCACATCTTACATAGAATGATGAATGAATTAAATATGTCTGTAAACAAAACACTCCTGTGTGATGATACATTTTTGTGCATTTAAAATCTGATATCTTTATTAGTTTCTATTTCTGGGTACATGCATTCTGAGGATAAAATATGTTACACTGTTTAATTGTTTTCAACATATTTTGACTTAAATGGTATTATTAATATTATTGTATTGGTGTGGAAAGCCAAACCTTGAACACATGCATCACGAAGATGAGCAGCATGAAGATTTGGATACTGATGACAAAGAGTTGAGAGCAAAGGTGAGCCAGCATAGTCTCCAGAGAACTCACACCTGTTTCACAAGAAAAGTATTAACAAACTTACATAAAATATACACTACCAACACCAAAGACATGATAAACACATGGGATTATGTTCTGCCTAATGGTGACCCCTACTGGCTCTTTCAGATAGTACACTCTAGAGCTTACACACATTGATCAGTATTATTGACTATAAATGAAGTAACAAAAAACAATATTCTCCAAAAATGCCAAAACCAAGTGTTAAATGCAAAAGTTCATAATCTTGGATAAACCCACCTGCTACCCAGCATCTGTCCAATAGGCCTTCCTTTCTCTCCAGGACAAAGGACAGAGCAGTCAGACCAACAGCGAGATAGAAAGTGATACTTTAAAAGAGGAGACATTGCAATTTAATATTATACTGCAGAACAAGCTGGCGATCAATTTTTATATCATTGTAGTGCTTTGAAATAAATTGCAGACCTGAGAACAGCACCAGGAGTCACATAAGTGGTGAAATCTGTACTTTGGCTACCATAGATCGGCTCTTCAAACTGAAAAAACAAACAAATATGTAGCTCATTTTCACAAGGGAACCATACATTGATCTTTGACATAGCCAGGTAGTTTTAATGATTTCCAGACAATCACAGGTGAATGCAGAAGTTATCTGTTTGACTTACCTTCACAGGCAAGGCAACCTGATAAGACATACTTCCTAGCTTGCTTTCAGTAAAAGTCTGAAAACAGGTACAGATACAAGTTCATTTATCCAACAAGGTAAATTCCAAATTATATTTGTTATGTGATGAAACATAACTTCTACTGAGCTTTGATAATGACAACAGCTATTTGGATTTACCTGAAAAGCATCATGTAGTTTCTTTTGCAGCATAAGGGCTATTTGACGATCTGATGGAACACAAAAAAGAACAATGAAGTTATCAATTGCTTTCAGGCAACTGAAGCAATATAGTACAAGTAAAGTACAACTACATTACAACATGGGACAAATAAATGATTATGTATTACTTGTGTGGTCCAGCCAGACATGTACAGAACCCCCATCAACCACGTCTCTGGACACATGCCGCTGCAAGGCTCTGTAAAAAAACAAAGACATAGTACTGTTACAAAATATGCCCAGAGCAGACTAGATACAAAAGAAAAGAAAGTTAAATATATCACTAATTGTTGTATAACCCCTATCAATAATAACAAATACATACGCAGCAACTAACCAACTTGCGTCAGCATGAATAAAGGAATGCAATAACAAATGATAACAAAAACATTGATGGACAGAGTGCAATGCATCTGTAGACACTCCCAAATGATCACAGTTATGCAGGTTATTTTTTTCTTGGACCACTTTTAAAGAACAGACAAGGAGAAAAAACCTTCAGGAGCAAACACCACCCATTACCCATTAAAAATACCTCGTCAACATCAAATTTTCTTTTGACAACATTTTAAGCCCACCAATTCTTTCTGCTTCCATCAGGTGTCATGATAGCAGTTCATTAGCATTCAGGCATTTTTGACAAAGCAGACACCTCCAGTTTGTTCACTTGTCACATGAGAAGCACATGACAATATCAGCATTTGATTGGCTCACACGAATCCTACTGTTGTCAAGGTAAGTTCAGGACAGGAAGGACCAGCCTGTCTATCCAGAAGTCTCAGAGTGCACATCACACCTACAACAACACAATGACTCTTACCCTATATAACAGCTGACTAACAGTCCCGTGATTTCTTTTTCAACTTGGTGGAGTTCAGTTGAATACGAAAGTAATTGGAGTTAATTTCTGAGTAATCTATAATTAGCTATTATTGAATACTGTGGTGAAAATTTTATTTAGCTTGTGCAGCACCAAAAAACAGAGTGTAGACAGAGTAAGGGTTCAATTGAAACGTGTGAAAAGCCATACAATACATTATTACATACATATCTGTTTCAGTGCTAAATGCTATATCAATGTATTGGTACTAATGCATATACATGTATTTTACAGTTCAGTATTAAAAGTAAAAGTATAAAAAAAATAGGCTACAAATCATTTACGCAATAAAGTTTAAAGAGTCTAGAGTTAGTAATGTAAAATATCTTTAGGATAAATGATCTTTTCTGCTCAAAGAATTTTAATGTGTTCCATCATGTTGTGGAATCTGTTTAGTGTGTCAGTGTATTGTCTGGAAAAAGCTAGCTGCTTTGATGTCCACATTAAATAATGACAAACTATATTTTTGACACATACATGATGCATACAGTTATTGTTAGTTTGTCATAAAATACGGCAACAGAAATAGCAGGCTGTCAACAAAGAAACAGCATATAAGTGTTGGCAAACAGAAGCTCTGTATTTGTCATGATGAATACATTTGCTGTTGTTTCCTTGGAGAAAACACCAAACACTAACCTTGCTTCCAGTGTCAGTGTACACTGGTATATGAATATTTGTGAGATTACGAAAACAAAAGGATGAATAATTTTAGGGAACTTCATTGTCCATAGAAAAGTATAAATTTACTGGCTTTAAAAGTTAAACTGATGACACTATATAGCCCCTAAATAAAATTTAGTAAAAAGAAACTCACCTTTTTGTCAGATAGCTGGTGAAATTCTTGCCAAATCCAATGACTCCCCAGTATTCTCCATTATAAATTCCTTCAAAAGCTTCTGAATGTGATAGGTGCACCTGTGAAGAGTTTCAAGAGGTTAAAACAATCCCAACTATTAGAGGCATTAGATGATCTCTATGTTTGTAACACTGTAACAACTATCTTACAGCAAACATATTTATAATAGCAATTTGGGACATCCTTTTAGCAGTTTGCAGGAAAGCACAAGGAGAAAAAGCAGGGCAATTGTTGTATTAATGGAATAATAAAAAAAATCTAACAGGTAGCAGAACTGTTTATCAATTAAAAGAAAAAAAAAAGATGACTACACCCATCAAAACAATCTTACCTGATGGATACTGTAGTTGTCTATGGCAGAGAGCAGAGAGTGGCTATATGAGGAGGGAGATGTTTCGTTATTGACCACTGCAACCTGGATGCCCTGAGGATCTCCTCCAATACAAAGACAAATCAGAGTGATCTGAATGACAGGCAGCAGGAACTGGAAACATAGGGACCTAAAAACAAAACACTGGTTAGAGTATGCACATTAAAATTCATTTAATTTGATTTAATTTAATCTCTTAATGTGGCCTACCCTGGGGTCCTCTTAAATCGCACCAATGTCTTGATAGTCAGGGCTGCAATGTTTCTACATTTCGGTAACACATGTCTGGCTCGCACCTTCCAGTCCGCTGTGGCATCCAAATCATCCAGTAGGTTGAAAAAAGCAGAAATTATTTAAAAAAAACAAACAAAAAACAAACAAAAAAAAACCCAGGTTGAATTCAGTTTGATAACATGTCACATATGTGATAAAGAATTACCTGTAAACTTGGGAATGTCCTCTGTAGGTGGGTTCATACCAAGAATAGGCCGACTCTCATTGCTCTCAAATGACTGGCTCTTCTCCAGCATTCTGTCCAGTGGGCTGGGGCTTTCCTTAGTGGCTGTCTGGTCTGATGACTGACAAAGCTTCAAAAAAGTACACTCCAAAGTCTGTGAACAAAATAAAAATGTGTATTCCAATGTTTAGTGTGAATATGCTGGACGTACGCCACATGGATGAGGTTGTATACTTACTGCTGTACCATGTAGTTTCATGACTTGATCTGGAGGACCTTCAGCCAGCAGATGGCCATTTCTCATCAGACCAACCTACAAAACAAATGGCTAGTTACATCCATTGTGCAAAAATAGGCCACAAACAGAAGTGGTCCAGTTTCCTAAGCAGTAAATTAGCAGTAAACTGAGGCCTCTCACAAGTGCACCTTTAGTGGCTTTTTTCTTGACATAGTTATGTCAATCTCTAACAATCACGAAGACAGCAATAAACCAACAGATGCCCTTTATTCTTTGTGAGAGCTAGTTTCAGTGCACTTGTGAGCAACCAGACAGGTTTAAGGAGTGTGATGCAACCACAGACTAGAGTAGGACTATTTTTGTTCTAGAATAGGACTATTTTTGTTCTTCCTAAAGAACTGTCAGAGCAACATGTAAGACATACACCGTTGGCCTCATAAACAAGTTTACATATGAACATGTTTCAACAAGTTTAAACAAGACTCCTATATGACCACTAGACTCAAAAATACTGAAAACAAAATATATGATTTCAAACGCACAGTGTTTACTTTATATGAAGATAATAGTCCAATATGTTATATTGTTTTAAAGCAGATGTTAAATCACAAATACTACCAAAACTGAGGATTGGGCTATTATTTTTAGGGCAGAAAAAAGCTACATCTGTCCTGCTGATTTTACCCAGTGTGTAAGCTTACTACTGAAAATCTTGAACAAGATTAATGGTAAATCCCCACAGGATTTTATTGAGGCAAACACCAGTAGTACTAATGGAAGAAAAATGCTAAATCTGTTATACAGACAAATACATTGTTGGTAATAACAGAATTAAATACAAAGTATTAAAGTCACCACAGCATAGTATTTTCATATATTGTTGCTAGTATTGCTTTTAAATCTACTTTTTAGAAAAGAGGAATCTGACTGACAATATGCTGTATTTGAGACAGTTTTGTTTATACCCACAGCAAACCTCAATGGAGTCTTTGTTTTTGTAGGCAGGACATAAAAGACCTAGAGATGCAGTACATGATTGCACTGATTACACCGTCTTTATGACCCTGTGTTTGTTTAACTGTGTCACCATGCATTCTCTCACCACATTGGCTTGTCTGGCCTCCTCGATGTAGTGAGTGGTGATAATGACAGAGACCTTCGCTGTCTTCACGATTTCCACCAGATGCTGCCAAATCCTAAAAAGGTTGTAAAAGAAACCAGATTACATAAAACTGAATTAGTGGCACTAATTTCCTGAAAATCTCTGAAAAAGCTTTTCCACGGCTGCTCTCTGCCAGCCGTCTGGGAAACCACATGGGAGGGGTAATACTGCCATATTTGCCTTGTTTGATACAAGTGCTCTGCAGAGTTATTTTAAGAGCTTCAAGATTAACATTAAGTTGATTTATAGGGCGTCCACAAAAAACACAGTGCTTGTTACTATAATAGTGACATGTACTTGGTCCTTAGCACTGGGTCCACTCCAACTGTGGGTTCATCCAGTATGAGCAGCTCAGGGTTTTGAAGCAAAGCAGCTCCCAGAGAAACTCTGCGTCTCTGACCTCCACTGCAACAACAGACAAACAAGAACAAAACAAAACACACAAGAATGAAATAGTAAATAACTGAAAACCAATGGTCACAAAGGTGAATCTCCCACGTTTCTCTGAGTTTCATAACTTAGGAGACGAGATAAACCTGCCTGACAACAACAAACAACTCCACAACAAACAACATATAAGAACTGCTAATAGGTACTTATACTATACAGTATAGTCATGTACTATAATTACTATTATTTGATAATAATCAATATGTTAATTTAAAGTACAACACTGCGTCAAAGCTGGTGTCACTGGCTGTTTAACCATTCCAGAAATATTTGTCATATTTTAAGTAATTTTATTTTAAGCAATTTTAAGTAATTTTGTTAATAATTTTAATGATTCATTTAATGCTAAATTAAATCGTGTCTCTCCATACTAAATGCACTTATGAAATTACTATCACTTTAAAAGTACTTTGTGGAAGATAATACTAAATAATTACAGAAACACTGATCCAAATGAAGTCAGAACCAGATTAATAGATATATTATTTTATTGTATATGCTTTATGAGGAAGGTATTAGAATTTGTATCAAAGTCCAAAAATCAGACCTCTGAACACAGTGCAAGCCTGTATCATCTGCAGTTTAAGGCCCTGTTACTGTCATCAAGGGACACTGGTACACTGTAAGGCATCAGATTAGAGATGGTAATCATGTAGGCCATCATGGATATTTAAAGCCTTCTGTCTGCCCAACTTGACTTTTATCTAAAGCAGCTCTCTCTCAAATTGCCCATGATAATGTTGCAGATAACGTCAGCATACTTTACCTGAGATTTCGAACAAGGCAGTTCTTCTGAGGTAGATCGAGAAAGTCAATAAGAAAGTTCATGCGGGCCTGTGTTTCTTTTCGGGTCAGACCGTGTAGGCGACCAAAAAATGTCAAAGTGTCACTGATGGTGAACTCATTGTACAATGCCAGGTCCTATAAGACAAAGCATACTGTGAGAAGCTTGAAGTTTTCCTAGAATTCTTGGGACAGCAATAGACATGCTAATATCTTGGCTGATATCATTAAGAACAAAACACTCACGAGAACAAAACAGTATGTTGTGATGCGGGAAGGTTAGTGTATTCTAGGTATTTGGCAAAACTGTAGTTTGAAGTTTCAGTTCACACAGTTTCAGGCAAATAACTGGGACATGCCTTTCGTGCATGTGCTCCAAAAGTCAAAAGGTTGTCTGCTTTAAAAGCTTTGCAACAACAGGTACATGAGGCCTGCGAACTCAAGAAGTGTTACAGATCACTTCCTACAGAGACGGTCAGAGTTACACACCACACGACCTCAACTGAATCTGAGCAGCTCCATTTGATATTCACTGACAGTAATGAGAAACACTCAGACAAGACACAGGTCACTGCCTGTACTGTAGAGGCTTCAAATAGACCAGGCAAGAACAAACATTTCACATGTAAATACACTGTACAGGAACAGACACAGCTAAAATGGCTTTGTGTGCAATGTAATTAAGATTGTATTTTTATTCAGTTATATGAATGCTACGGTACAGCTTCTGTTCAGTGGTTTTCAGTCAGGCCATACTTATTCTACATTGTATCTTACTGTATAATCTATATAGCAACCTGACAAAAAATGTATATGAATCTGATTTATTAATTTGAGACTCTCATCAGTCAGAACAGTACTCTTGATGCGTTTATACTGGAGATATGCGTTTCAATTTATAGTGGTCTTTTACAACTATATTTATCATCTGTTAACGCACAAATATTAGAAAAATATCCTTCAGGATATAAATCATTAATGAAAAGGCGACTTGGGCTACCATAGCTGTGCTTCTGAAAATTTGCAAATTAACTTTACACGCCTAGGGATAATTAGGCCAATATTTGTATGCAAATAGTTTTATGTGGTGTTCTTCTTTTATTGATTTACCTGTGGCATGTATCCAACCATTCTACCCGGTACTTCATGACCAGGAAACGCAGGTGGCTTCCCCAACACAATGATTTGACCTCGTGATATTTTTAGAGTACCCACAATGCATTTCAGCAGTGTAGTCTTTCCACATCCACTGGGGCCTAACAAACCATATCTGCAAAAGATGGAGCCATAATATTAAAATGTGTTGCTCTGAAACAAATGAGAGACTCATGAGTACAGACTGTAACCGAGGAAACCAAAGAACCGTAACAAAACTATATGCCTTTTGAAAACATGGTATGTGTATGTGAATGCAGTTTGTTATCTCTGGAACAAAGAATGCACAAAGCAACAATAATGAGTTAATAAATGCCCAATTAGAAGTGTCGGTACGTACTGAGAGGAATAATGTCACTATGTTCAGTCTATTATTACTATATGAACTGTGTGAGTTATTGTGCTATAGAGGGATGCAGGGTACAATAGACTGCATTTTGATGAGCACTACTAGAGCTTAAATCAATGACATTGCAGACATACAGTATTGTGAATGCCATGAAGACAGTTTGTTATTGTTTTCATGTTTTAGATTATCCCATTTCTAACTCGTTTTTTCTCAGAGTTTTCTCTTCTATTTCTCAGGTGCCCATCATGATGACAAAGATAATAATAATAATAATAATACTAAATAAATAAATAAATAATATATATATATATATATATATATATATATATATATATATATATATATATATACACACACACACACACACACACATATATATACATATATACATGAATATATACACATAAATGTGTATATATTATATATTTTAAGCGAGCTCACATGAATTAGAGTCACAGATGACTGCTAATGTTTTTGAGCTGTAACCTGAAATTAACCTTTTGGAACAAGTCCTACACAGGCTGATTGTGTTATGTGTGATTCCAACAGGTCTGTGTAATTAATCTAATTTTAGTTCAGACTTTAGAAAAATATTAATTATTTTGTTTATGCTGAGGAAACAAAAATTGCTTTGATTTTAACAACACTAGAATACAGTCAAATAAAAATTTGTTAAACCTCAATTTGAGGAAAATAATGTAATTTTTTTTGTCATTGTCAGCTAGCCTTAGTTTTTAATGTAGTTATGCCATAAATACAAATTTAAGCCATTATAATAATGCATATTAATACACAGTTGATGAAAGTCAGTTATAACAAAGTCCTAAGTAGTAGTAACTTCTTTGTGTCTCTAGGCGAGGTCAAGAATGTAAATCTGATTTGAAGAAAAATCCTGGTGAGGAGATTTGGCCGGTCGGTCACAGGGTACATACGTGAAATAAAAGCAAGACATAATGGTGCTTGGCAAAACCTGTGTGAATCTGATGCGACTAAGATAAATAAAGTCATTTGTGATATGAGAAAAGTTCAAGATTCTTTATTTGTCATTCAACCATGCGAGAGAAACACACAACAAAATGAAATTTCTCAAGGCCCAGTGATTAAAAGAGGGAAGACCAATAATAAATAGGCCTTTCACTAGGATCACCGTGAGGTGATGCCAGATAAGATAAAGAGTCTGTTATTCTTTGCCTGCTAAGCTATGCTCCTCTTATAAAACTGTACTTACATCTGTCCTTGTGGCACAGTCAGGTTGAGATTGCTGAGGACCTTGAGTTTGCCATAGGATCGGCACACATCTCTGCAACGGATTGCAGCTTCTTCATGACCAACAGGCAATGGAGCCTCCACATCAACCGTCATGGCCTCCCCCTTCAGATGGAGTTTAGAAGATCAAATCATAATTCATTTATTGAAAACAATGTTGGAAAAAAACAACACAATACATGTTTCAGAAATAAGATAAAGAAGGTGACATGATACTGACCAGTGTAATTAATGATAATAATTGTCTACATGAGTCATAGATAATGGTTTTAAGATTTTCAATCAAACCTACCATGCATATTGATATTGTTTTTACTGCTCTATACGCACTCAATCCTGCTTTCTTGTTTAAAGAATCTGATGTTAAAACAATCCTTAGGCTGTAATCTGTAATAACAGCACTCTTTCACAGTTCTCTGACCAGCTCTTATAATCCAGAGTCTCATTTTCCACTGGACAGATTAGAGAGATTGCCAAGTGTAATCTCTTGCATTTGCTTGGTTTTACCTTTGCCACTTTAACCTCTATATCCAAGACATGGTATAGCTAATGTGAAGCAATGTTAAATAAATGGTAAGAAAAGAAGTGTTTTGAGCAATCATAAACAGAAAATCAATCTCACCTATCTAAAAGTGTTAGTCCAACAAGTAGATCAGTGTGTCCATCCACCGAAGACAACTACTGAAGTGCATCAGCTGACTAAAACAACTGAACCACATGAATGCAAAGTGGTAAAACAGGTTGGGCATCAGAGAAAAAGTGGGCGGAGACAATTTGTGTTTCTCATAGGATTCCTTGGTATCTTAGATCAAGGGGGTGAGTACCATATGTACTAGACTTTTTGCTGAATTATGAATAACAGTAACCGACAAATCTGATGTGAAAGTATTTTAGAAAACAAATTAGGCAAGAATTTGTCAACCTGTGATGAACATATTTGTAGAAATACTTGGAAGGCAATATTGCTACAGGCAAACCCATTATGCCACAGCAGACCAGCATAGCAACTTGTACTCAGTAATTACTTAAATTCTTACAGTGTTGCACTCTCCATCCATAGCCCTATCAACTTGGCAAATAAGAAAAAAGCCTACATTTTACTGTAATAACTAGGATACACTTTCACAAGTAGGTGCAAAAGAAAACTACCGTGCTCAGGGCCGGGTCAATAAGAGTGTCACAAACCAATATGCATTCCCTGTGACAAATTTACAGTGCATGCAGTGGCTGAAAACCAATCCACCACTGAGATCAGCTGCTGTCATTGGCTGTGTACTGCCACACTTTGACTCCCCTTACTCCGATAAGAGCTGCGGAGGACTAAACTGCTATAAATCACTGCCATATTCCCGTCCTGCCCTCTATGTAAATGAACCGGCAGGTATCTGCGGAAGCACTGTTTTCCGCAGAGTTTATGTCCATCTTGTGGCAACTACGTGGGGATGCAGGAAACGGCTGATGTCAAATAAACACACGATTGAACAGTTGCTTATGACTGAGATAGCCTATTGCAAAAAGAAAGAATGCAAAATGCTCTTACGCGTTCCTCCATCTCGGTAGAGTCTGCAACTCGCCTCGTTACATCCTCTCGAGCGGCTCTCTCTGCGGCCATGGCAGCAGCAGCGCACAGAGGATGGAGCGGCGACGCGCAGTGTGCGTGCGTTCAGGATGGGAGGGGGAGAGGGGCAATTCACTTCAGAAAGTCGACTGTAAAGTCATTAACGCTCTTAGTGCAATCGGAGAGCGCAACATTTTGTTAGCTCTCATCTGAATTGGTCCATGTCCATCTTCCTACCAAAATTAGGTTTTTGTTTAATATCTGCTAGGCTACCGTAATACAGTGATGAGGTAAAATTTACCATGAGGGTGCCAACCAGTAAGAGACTGGCAGAATCATTTTACAGCACTGCAAAGTGGTGGTTCGTATAGTTCAGTAGGCGGTTAAATACTGCTCCCTTTTGGTCAATAAAAATGGTGCAGGAGCTGTGTGGTACTGACAAATGCCCACACGGTGGCACAATAACATATGCCTAACTGCTATCCCATTTTCTATGAGAGGGGAATAGAATAGAGTAGTACTTAAAATGTAAGCCTACACCAAAGCGTGTTGAGTCAGTGGAGTCAACATCATATCTTTCTGGGGAAAAAAATAATTAAAAAAATCATCATAGTATAGCGGGCACATCATTGTTACAATTATTGGGAATATTCATGAGTAAATTACTTGGGAATTGAACTAGGGTCTAAATGTAGGCACATCCATTGCTAATACATATATTTATTCAGTCAGATGCGCGTCTTGGGTAGAGGGTTTAAGAAAACCTGTCTGATTAGCCATTTTAACAGAAGGGGATTAGGCTTTTAGCTGTAATTATGATAACGCATGTACGTCAGCAGATATCCACCCATTTTCTCTGTAGCACATGGAGCAGCCGTGAGGCCTGTCTGCACCGGTCAGACGTGAATATCCGCTACGCGAGCAGAGCCTAGAGCAGGAAAAGGCCGGTAGTGCAGCTTTCTCCGGAGCGAGTGCCACGACGCTGACACACCACTCTGTTCAGGCTCGCATATTAAGCATCCTATGAGATTCTGTTCAAGATGGCGGTGCAGGCAGCGGAGAACGACGGGATAGTAAGTATATTTGGTTCTTCATACCAAACTGGATGGACACTCCTTATGTCGGTTTTTCAAACTGAGCAGTTGCCCACAAATTTGATCCAAACGCACCGTTATCCAGCGCGATTGTGAACGATGCGTGCGGTCAGGGCAAGGCTACTCCTCTTTCATCATTGAAGGAAGCAGGAAACCCAATACGTTTGTGTGTAATTTTGTCTGCACAATGATGTAGCCTACCTGTTCATCCAGGCCCACCTTTGATGTTGCGCATTGATGTTGCACCACATTCATGCAATGTTGGTACCACTAAACGTCTATATTTTCAACATGTGTAAATGTACAGCCGCCCCGTTGTTGCTGACGGGTTTCTATGTGTTTGTATTAGCCTTAGGCCTAACTATTGCTCCTCTAATCCCAAACAACTATGTCTTCTGCCTATGCTTATTTGTAATTTATTGCACTATACATATATACTTTTGCTACTGGTTTTGCAGAATGTGGAGAATGACCACCTCAATGACTCTCTGGAGAACCCTGGTATCATCTCTCCCGACAAGGAGGATATAGCGCGTCTTGTAAGCAACACAATAATATTTTATTCCTTGTCGGCCAACTAAAGTAGACCTACAAGGAAAGTAACGTGTTGTTTTGTGTGCCTGTTAGTCTGTACCATTCAGTGGACGCATACGAGGTGGAATGCGCCCAGGGAAGAAGATCATAGTGATGGGAATTGTGGACTTGGAGCCAAACAGGTGAGATGATCTAACCTTAACGTTATCAGATATTTAAACGTGATCTGTCCAGCACATTAATGCATGATTTTAGAGATATCTTTAAGACACAGCGCAGGAGCAGCTGTGGAAAATGGTGACTTCTTAAGTATGCATAGGCTGGGCGTTTCCTGGCCCCTTGGTAGAGACTGGGGAAGAAAGAGGGAGCAAGGACTCATTTGTGTATAGTTGTTTTGGGTGTGTCTTTACCCTACATGGAAACTTGTGTCATACTTGGCAAAACTTCGGAGTGACATCAGCGTGCTCAGAGCAGGTCATGTGGTCATGTGAATGTCTTGATCATGATGAGAAATATAGCACAGTTCAAAAATACACAATCATCTTTTGTTAAAAGTTTTAGATGTTGTAGGTTGATAATGATTTATAACAGTTTGGTTCTCTCAAGATGCCGTGCTCCTGGGATTAGGGCCAGGACTATTGTTAAGGGATTATGAGCCATTGCCATGCTGTTATTTGCTCTTACACAGCAGAACCAGAATTATGAGTTTGACATAGGAAAAAAGGCCAAAGGAAATTTTTTTGAAACAGTAGCATATAATAAAAAAGCACACAAATCTAAATGGTAATAATAAGAAAATGGATGGGTTGACAATTTTTAAAAGTAGCAAAAGAGACTGGTGCCACATTTGGCATAATTATACAAATGTACAAAACAGGAAAAATAGAAATATAGTAGTACAAAATATATCTTGGCTAAATACAAGAGATGGGTAAGGTGAAACAGTGCAAATATGAAATAGTGATTGACATGACATAGGGTTATCTATTACGTAAGGTTGAGTTGTTGTACAGATTTATTTTGGATTAGCTCTGGCTCATAGCTTTGTATAGCTGACATCCCTTATGTTGCCTTCATCTAAAGTTTCGATGTGAGCCTAACCTGTGGACGTGACTCTGAGAAAGAGGACCCTCCATGTGACGTCGCCCTAAAACTCACCGCCCGATTTAGTGAGCGCAGGTTCCTACGCAATGCCCGAGTGTCTGGCAAATGGACTGAGGAGGAAGCCTCTACTGATTATTTTCCATTCATACCAGACCAACCTTTTAGGGTAATGTATATATGCATTTCTGTAATGTCTGGATGTTGCTCTTTCATCTACCCATTTCATCTAACTTTATATTATCATCTCCTTCTTTTTGGAAGCTCAATGTGACATAAATATGCCTTTGTCCTATTTATACAATACTAAAATCTTCATTTATTGTGTCTCATCCCTAAATTAGCTCTAAATTATATTATTTGCTTCTGATATTTGTTAAAGGTTTTGACTTAAGTATAATCCTTTATCTTAATTTAAGATCTGCTATTATTTAGCCTCATGGTTTGGTGCTATACTGAATCAGAGTTAACAAACTGTACATACACAATATGATAACTGAATAAAAGCACATGTCCATCTACACTACCTTCATTATTTATGATACTTTTGTGCTACATGAAAGATGGTATCAGCTGTAATCAGTGTAACTGTGGTGTAGGTTTGGGGGATGAGAATGGCAGCTGCACATATGCACGATGAGTAATGGTCATAGGACCGCAGGACAAGTCTAGCACAAGTTTCTGCTCCAGTAATTTGTGCATATTTACACATTGTTTCTAAAAATATACATAATGGAATCTGGTGGAAATTTGTTGTGCAATTTTCATCACAAGTGATTCATTTAGATAAGTAGAGAACATGTTGGCAGTATGTTAACTTATTCTAATTATACTATATTAGTGCAACTGTGCAAGTGCTGAGCCTCATGCTTTGATCATCATCAATACTTTACTGCTATAGTTATTTCTTTTTTTTTAGGGACATTATTTAGAATTGCGTTTTACTGTTTTTAGATGTTTGTATTAGAATTAGAGCAAGTGAATAATATCCTTTAAGGATTAAAATGCACTCTTTGGCTCATTACATTTAACTTTATCTGTTTTTCTAGATTGAGATCCACTGTGAGCACCAGCGGTTCCGGATATTTGTGGATGGACACCAGCTATTTGACTTTTATCACAAAGTAAAGTCTTTGTCTTCTATTGATACAGTACGGATAGATGGAGATCTACAGATCACCAAGCTCGGCTAACCTCGCTTAGATCTGTGCAACGCAAAGACTTTATCACCTGTAAACACATATAAGCCAGTCATCAGTATCACCATCACCAATGGCAACTGTTAACACTGCAGCAAAGAACCAACTTTAGGGATTATTAATTAAGAAATGTTCTATATAAGGCTTTGGAAGTAATCGTGACATTCGGGGTCTTTCTTTATGTTGCCATTTTTTGTTAGATGACAGATATCTTGGTCTTCTTCATAATTAAAAAAGTTTGTGGTAAAACTACATAGGGATCCTAAAGAATGAACTTGAGGGATGACTTTTAGTTTGACACATTTCCCCTGAAACTTAGTTGTATTTATAAAGACGATATTTGCAGTCTGAACAGGGTTTGACTAGTAGTTGAATTTTATTTTGACAGTATTCCCTAATACAGTTTTTAAGCACCGTTTGTTCTTTATTTCTGACGACGTACAGCAGTGTTCTCCTAAAGGCTATGCCGTCTTTTGGGTTTGTTCCAGTTGTCATGGCAACATGCTGCAGTCCTGGCTCGACCTAATTTTCCCAAAATGAGGATTATAACTGGCATTCCACACTCCATGTCTTTTTAAAACATGTAGCTCTTGAGTCCCTTTTGCTGATTCTAGCTCACATGTCATTGTTTACACTAGTAGTGGGTGAGTCTCTTTAGTGGTCATGTAAACTTCATCTAATCAAGCTATAACTACCTTTTTCAGTAAGAAGTGACTTTAACTGTGTTGGGAGCAGGAATCTGAATGTACATTGTTCATGTTTGTAACAATAGGGGAAATCATTTGTGGTGAGGTTACATAGTGTCACTTATTTGGATTAGTGACTGTTCTCACTTGTAGGACCCTGCACAGTAGGTCTTTGTATTTTGGATCATTTCCATTGCAGCATCCTGTCTGCATTAAGGCTTGTACAAGACATTCCTTCATAGACGCTATAAGGGAGCATTCTTGAATACATGTCTGTGACCGAGGCCAAGTATGCAAAATTAAATATAGACTTCTTAAGGTGCTTCATTATCATTCCATCCTACCTTTTATTAGGATAGACTAATATTGAACAAATTTGATTTATTTCTGTTTTCCTCTTGGTCTCTAGTAGTGTAAGGTAGCATCAAAGGTACGGGTGGAAATCTCATGTATTACACAATATATAGCTAGTACATTATTTTCTTTGAAAATATGTGTTTTATGACAGATATATTTTTTATTTTGCAAAATGCGTACTTGATTTTACAACAGTAATGGTTTAAATGGGTATGGAATTACAAGTGGTCATCATAACTCCAGTATTAACAAAACTGCATGTGAAACTTTTATGGTCTGTGTGATTAATTTACCAGTGACTCTCAATTTCTGTTATATAGCACAAACTGAAATGTTCTAATGTTATCCTAGTTTTGTTTTTTATTCTTAAATGAATGTTGCTCCTTTGTAAATGGATGTTGCCTACGGTGAACAGTAGAGTCTGTTTTTGATCAGTTAAAGAAGTTAAACCATTTTGCACTCTGATAATTGAAACTTAATTACACTTTTTAAATGAACTAATGAGTTAATTTGCTGTGGTTGTTTTTGACCCTACAAAATTCTGTGTATTTTGTTTTGTAAGGAAGGTAACATACTCTTTGTCATGTCATATTCTACAATGTGCTATGATCTGGTGAGTCCAGTCTCAAAGGTGTTACAAGTGTTGTATATTGTATTTTGTTTTATTTATTCATACTAACAATTAGGCTTAATTATTTTTAAATTAAATTTCATTCAGCCTATTATAAGCAGCATAATGACAGGCCTGCTTAATGTTACATTTTCAGATTCTGATCATATAATTTGTAAAGACATGAACAAGTAAGATGTAGATTCACACTTTCCAGTTTAACATATCACCAAAAACATTTTCATTCTGCTTTTGTAAAAACGAAAAAATTAAAAATGGAAGTATCCACACAAGCAAATCTTTTCATCTTGATCTTGCTCTTTGTCTTGTTATTGGCTATAACATTCTAGATTAAATGAATGGATGCATGAATGAAATTAATTAAAATGTTAAAACAACATCTGAAAAAATAACTAATAACTTTTTTTTTTTTTTTTAATATATTTAAAGGTGCACAATATGACTTTTATGGTACATGGTCCGCCACCTACTCATCTCCATGGGGATGTTATTGCTTTACCATCATATGGCTTTAAAATTGTTCTGATGAAGCAGCTGACGCCACAAGACCTGACAGAGGAGAGGCAAGAGGCATGTTTTTCTAAAATATTGGTGAGTAATAAAAACTCCCAATGCGACGGCTAGATACATTAATGCCATATTGTGGAACATTTCAGGCAAAGGAAGAACATTTCCATGAGAAGAACAGGTGATGAACCTTCAGCACAATCCGCATCACAAAAGTTACTAAGATATGTAAGATACGTAGACGTAATTATGTACATACAGATTCTCCTTTGCTCCCAGTAGATGGTGGTGTTGCTCTGCCTGATCATGGTGACTGACCCAGAAGACTCTAATAGATCCATGACCTGACCATGGACCGGACCTGATCATAGACCGGGCCTGACCCAAAAAGATGACCGACAACATTAAAGATCGTTTATATTTGGAGGAAGCACCACGCGGTTTCACTGGACGCTCCATTAGCTTTGACTGATTTCCGGTCAGAATATTTGAGACGAAGTGGGAGCTCTGTGTTTGAATCCTATCGTTCGCTCGGCACCAGCAGCACATAGACTATGGCAGCACCGTGAGCAGCACCACTCGGAATAATGATGGGGAACGCTACTGCTGAAGAGCTGTAACGACAATCAGGGTGAATATTGTTGATTAAATGCAATAATAAACGTGTAATAGCTATTAGGTAATCTTATACACCAACGTGCCATAGTCTTTCTTTGGTAGGTGCTAGGTAATCTGCTGCATTTTGAACGGTATACACACCCTTGCTAGCCCACTGTAAATTAGCTATAATATTGTTTTATCGATAAAATCGTGGGCTTAATTAAAGTGTTCTAATTGTAATAACATTAGTATTAAGAATATATTTGAATGGAGTGAGTATAGTTTCAAAATCTCTATTTTATTCTCATTGGCTGCATCCATGATGTGACTGACAGCTGACTAAAACAAATAGGTCTGTATAGTGCTTGGTCAGATCTGTTTCAGTACTGTTTTATTAACTGCGTATGCATTTGCGATAAGAGGATTACCCAATGGCCTAATCTTAATCAAGTAGTTCTAAGCTGTGAGGACCTACAATGTCGGTATAGGCACTTGCCTACTAATAGAATTCTGATCAGTAGTTCTTCTATTCATATGTAATAAACCATTCATTTTTGTTATTTTTGGCAAGGGGAAGCCAATGGACGCCATGCCACAGCTGTCTTCATCCCTGCCGCAAGTGTGCAACCAGGATGAAGAAGCGCCGGCAGAAGAGGAAGAATTTGGGGAGTTTAGTAACTTTCCTGGTGGTGCTGATGGCTTTAATTGCTCCCCATGGGAATCTGCATCCAACTCTCTATCTTTACACTCAGATCCCTGCCAATCTATTTCCAGGTTAAATCAGCCAGTTGAGCAGTCTCAACCCACATCTACTATGAGTCTTAAATCCATTGATGACCAGGCAGCATGTGTAGATGAACTATCTGAAAAGTACCCTTATGATGGGGACAAGAGCTCAGTTCTGAAAGCTTGCTTTCTCACAAATGAAACAGACTTTGCAGACTTTTCTGTATTTGGCGAACAAGCAGCACAAGCCTGGTGTTGTGGTCTGGCTGGTGCAGAGTTTTGGGATGGAAGAGAGGGGATGTCTGCGCTGAGACACAACTATGTCACCCCGGACGAGAATGTAATTTTAGATTCTGAACCCAAATCTTGTGCTTTCACATCAACAGGCAACATTTGCACCATTGTCAACCACTGTGAGAAAAGAAATAAATCATCTCAGGACAATAACAGTAAACCACATCTTCAGGTGGAATGGGGCCATTTTGGAGATAAATCTGCTGACAAGTCTTGTGAAAGTCACAAAGAGAGAAAGCATAGTTTCAATCTAAATTTTTTACGAACTTCAAAAGAAGTAGAGGAAAGAGGAAAGAAAGAAAAGAGTGTTTCAACACTTTCTCAGACAGCAGGCTTGTATGACTTTGTGGACAATGTATCATTTGATGAAGGCTCATCACAGGATGAACCATCTGAGGATTTTGAGCCAAATGTATCTTCTCTTGCTTCACCAGATGACACAGACCCTGATGAATATCCAACTGATGATGAAGAGGAACTGAGGAACTATAGGCTTTCTCGATCCTTTTGCAACAATGATTTCATTTGGTACAACACATCCAATTCTGATGTTGATACCGGTCTTTTTTATGACGATCACTTTGCAGCTCAGGAATCCTCTGCTACCTCTGCACTCTCAGAATATGAAGAACATTCTGAAGAAGAACAAGTGTCCAGAGGTGTCAGTTTAGAGTCCCACACGAGCCAAGAACCTGTCCAATTAGCTGACGGAGATGTACAAAATCTACAAGGTCTTCCGCCCAGTGACAGCTTTGCTGACTTTTGCTCAGCACCCTCACAAGAGGACAGACAGTGTGAGCTATTTCAAGACCGACAGGAGGCCTTTGGACAGCAGTATGATATAACTAGCTGTGAGGTACCTTAAAAAAAATCTTCTCACTACAAATGTAGTTATGTGCTAGATTCAAACATGCTATTTGCTGATTGTTTGTTTGGGGGCAGGTTGTGCTCCATTGTCAAGTTCAACAGCTGTTGCTGGCCAGTTTCCCACAGTTGGTCTCAGCTGAAGAAGTGGAGGATCCAGTTTATGGACTAGAAACACTGCTTTTCTTCAAAGATGAAAGTGACCATGAAGAACAGGAATCAAAACAGTTTGACTCACTCTGGTAAAACTGTAGATTGATTCATGTTTAGTTTGTTTATATTTTTATCAGAGTTATTTATTTCAAAAGAGTTACTACACTATGTTGAGTGACATAATATTGTCTGACCCTCATAGCATCCCTCCTGGCTTAAGATGGTCATCTCAGGACATTCACTCAGCTGCTGGCCTGCAGTTTCAGTGGGGTGGTTCCCATACCAGTATGGGTTTACTACAATGCCTTGGTGTGGACTCAAGGAATATTGTAAGTTTTAATGTTCATCAAGAAGTGCACCTTTTACCAAGTTGATTACTGTACATTTTACAACTTCTTAGCAAATCTCTCTTTTAGGTGGTCATTGGCTTAAAGAAGCAGCCAGTGGCTGTACCTGCATTAGCATCCCACCGGGTATACAATGACATGATCAAGTTTAGTGTGTAGGCAAATATATACTTCGAAAAGAAAAACAAAACAAACACATGTGTACATTGTTTTGACTGAAGTTATTTGATTTAATTTTAACTAAATTTTTCTTCAATAGGGACAACTGGAGCCTATCAAGGACTCATTGTCACCTGTACATTTTTCAGGACAAACTAAAGTGACAACACATAAACCTATGAGTACCTAAGACAGCTCACTGGGTTTATTAAAGGTACTACTAAACAAATAAAAAGCTACAGGCAAATTAGTCACTAACTACTACAAAAAAAACAATACAATATCTCTTTTTCCAGGATTACCTGTGCCCTGTGCTGAACTGGAGCAGTCAAAGCCTTAGCAGTTCTCAGGATGGTACGTCCCATTTCTATGCCCCACTCTTTTGGATACTCAAAGAGTCTGTTGTTTGGCAGCTTATATTAATCTTGGTCATCCTGTTTTACGGTTTTTCCCTTCTGAGGTTGCTACAGCAAATCATATGGCTCATATAATACGCTGTGAATTCACTAGCTCTTAATTGTAAAGAAAAAAAGAGCTACCTCATTTTCAATAAAAAATAGGTACAGGTGCTTTATGTCACTATGCCATACTAACTGTCTGTTACATTCATGTGAGTTTGCTGCTAATAATACAGCTAATTTCACAAATTTATATACAACTGTGCCCTGAAACGTCACTTTTACTTAATGGACAAATCAGCAACAATAGTTTTAAATGGCCTTTACATATATTTATTTTCATAATGATTTATTGCAATCTAACCAACCAACCAAAAACTATTGTGCACGTTTTTAATGATTCCATGTAGAGATTTGGTTTGATTTGAAATTAGATTAATGTTAAGAGTAAGACCATCTGAGTACAGCATTAATGGTAGCACTGTTTGGCATGCCAACATTTATAAATGTGTATTCATTTGTAGCATGTAAACATGTACAATAGAGAATATGTTATTAAAAATAACTGAGGCCCTGAATATGTAGTCTTTACTCAAGATGCAAAAATTGTAATGGGCAATAGTATACTGCAGAGGGCAGCAGCAGAAGAACACCCATTTACACATACACCTGTACTCAACCATTGAACAACCAATAAAGTGCATTGAAATAAAATGAAAATAATTAGCCCATTAATACTTATTTATGGGGAAAAATACAAAGAATAACTCAGTTGAGATAAAGATAGTAAATATGACAACATATTTTTTATTTTAGTTGTGCCTTCATTGCTGTAAGAGTTTTTCCTATTTCTATCTTCGGACCTATTATTTTGTTAAGACTGTCTAATGTACTGCTGTAAAATACTTGTGAATATAAAATAAATTTGATGATTTCTATTATAGCTATTTGTTTCTGTTGGTTCTTGATTATTACACTTCTGTTTTGTGCTTTCTAAATAATAGTGATAATAATTTCTACCCCCATCATTATTATGTATTAATAATGATGTGGGTAGAAATGATTAGTTATCATTCATACATTAATACAATTATTAAACATTATTAATACATAATAATTATGGTAAATGTCACCAGAGCTGTCCACCACCTCTTTTTGCATGTATGTATTTATTTTTAATAATAATAATAATAATAATAATAATAATAATAATAATAATAATTATTATTATTATTATTATTATTATTATTATTTATAATGCTCTTAACCAGATGAGGCATTTGAGCTTCTTTTTACGAACCAACATATCCGAATCATATTTCAGCTGTAGAATATCCTAACTAAATTAATGAAGTTCTTCATTTTGCCTTTTTCCTCAGTTCATATTATGCCTATACATTTTCGTGTTATGGGCCTACAAGCGTAAGGAAAACATACATATTAACCAAAAATTATAATACAACTAAAAGGGTATAACATTTAAAATGGTAAACCTACCAAATCTCTATGTATCTGTCTTTTTATTTCGCTTATGATGGTGGGCAGAGAGCGGCGGACTGCCGAGTACCGGATGCGCACCCTTCCCTTCCTCTCAGCCGGGCTGCCGTGTCTTCCTTCCGGCTTGTTGAAGAAAGTTGAGGGAGGTTCAGCGGTAACTGGGCTTTTACACAATGGACAGCCAGGGAAGGAAAGTGGTGGTTTGTGACAATGGAACCGGGGTACGTCTGCCGATTTTCTTATAACCTTCGTCTTTGTGATTGCTGTTTATCCGGGACCGTTTTTATGAACGATTTGCTGAAACAGGAAGTAGGGCTTCTGTGCTAGCGTCAACTGGGTGTGTAGCTGGTTAGCAGGTTAGCTACATTTTCATTCATCCAACCGTGCCGTCAAACTGCAAACAACAGCTTTGTAAGCGCGTTTTTATCTAAAATACAATTAACTATACGTATTTGTTTTATTATTCCGCATGTTTTAATTTTAGACTCGAAAATCGGTCAATCTTACTAAAGCCCTGGTTGTCATGCTAAAATAGTTAGCAGCTGGTTGGCCCTTTTTTTTACTCGGGTTTATCAGCTGGCTGTTACCGGGATGGGCAGCTTGAGGCCAGCTGACATACTGGTCACTTTTTATTCTTGTGCTTTTTTGCAGTCCTCGTAATTAGGTTTGATAAGTCTCTGGATAGAGTTTGCGCTAATGGCTAATGATGCCACCAGGCCTGCAAACCCAATTACGCAATGTTTTGCTTCAGTTTTTTAAATACCGTAGCAGTGAATTGATTGCTTTTACTTATGATCAAAGATAATTTATATGACTTCTTATTGCTCAACAAATTTAGGGCCCAGCCTTCGCTGTTGGTATTAAGCGCCTGCTGCTGCTGATGAAGTAGCCTGTGCGTTACCTTTGTATTATTTAATCATATTGGCTGTATTTTTAATGAATAATTCATTTTCTTAGACGAAACCTGTCTTGCTCAGCAGTTAAGGAGGATGTTAGCTCAGCACGGAGCTAAGTAGAGATTTGAGGTGAAAGCAGCCTCTGTGTGAATAAGCAGTTGAAAGGAAGTGACAGGGTGCACCGCAGCTCAAGATATCACCTCAGAGTCCTGTTTCAAGACCACCTGTACATCATCATCTTCACTCTTTTTTCCAGTTTGTTAAGTGTGGCTATGCAGGCTCAAACTTCCCTGAGCACATCTTCCCTGCGCTTGTTGGAAGGCCCATCATCCGCTCCACCGCCAAAGTTGGAAATATTGAGATTAAGGTATGACCCTGTCCTGAATAAGAACATTGTCTTTTGGAACACAAAAAATGGTCATCTCTGATAGAGAAACTGCAGTTTAAAATGGTGTCTATTACAAATGTACAAAAACTAAAATATATAACTTGCTCATTAATTGTTTTAGCATATACCCTTTCAGCACCTTTCCTGTCTAGTTTCCCTTATGTTTATATATTTTTTCAATGTCTGCTTCCCTTTTCCTTTTATGTTTTTGTTACTCCCCCTGCTGAAGTAGAATTCTCAGAAGATGGTAAGTTCAGGTTGGTGTGTGCCTCCTGTCCTTGCCTGCTGCAGGAAGCTGTCATGACTTTAAGTTTATCTTAAAAATGCTGTATTTAATTTTTATTTTATATTTTGGGATTGTGGTTTTTATTTTTTATTATTGGACCTACAGTTATTTCTAGTAGTTGAAGGTAACAAAGAACACAGTAATAGCCTAGCAGCTTCAGCGCTCTAACTGAAAGCTGCTGAAAAAATTTGATTATTTTAATAGATGCCATTTTCTATGAGCTTTTATTACTTTACATTGTAATACTTGGAATAAAAAGCTTTTGTAACAGTTTGACCCATTCTGTGGATGCTTGACAGACAGTTGAGAGACGGAAGCACATGTGCTTTTCTTTTAACTTTTTATTGAGACCATATGGAGGCAGTACATAGAGCTGGTACTTTGTTAATGCCAAAGCACACAGGATGAGCTCATAAAATGGCTGTCTTTGGTGGGCTTTTGATGTTTCCAAATGGAACATGAGATGCTTGACTGTGTGGCTAACACAAAACGCTAACCCAGAGTTGTTTATATTTTCATGCTGCTTGCATGCAGCCAGTTTGAATGGTACTAAAACGAGTGGTTACCAAAGCTAGAGGAAATTTGGTGTGCCTTAAGGAGTATGCATGGAAACGAGCCTTAATGTGCATGCAGGAAAATGGTTTCTTAGTGAAGGTATAATATGGGTATAATGTGAGAATCCGAAACTTATTTTTTACAACCAATATATCTAACATCCTCTATGTGTGTGTAGTTAGACTTGATCGTTTTGCTGCTAAGCTGCTAATGCAAAGATACATTTTAACTGCTTTTCCTGAACTTTTATTTAGGACCTTATGGTTGGAGATGAAGCTAGCGAACTTCGTTCCATGCTGGAAGTCAACTACCCCATGGAAAATGGTATTGTTAGAAACTGGGATGACATGAAACACTTGTGGGACTACACATTTGGCCCAGAGAAGCTCAACATTGACTCACGCAACTGCAAAATCCTTCTCACTGAGCCTCCTATGAATCCTACCAAGAACAGGGAGAAGATCATTGAGGTATGATTCATTCCACACTAGTACTAGACTAGATTTAGGTTTATCCTTTGTTAACTAGCATACTAAATCTTGATCCATTCAACCTTTTATTTTTAGGTAATGTTTGAGACCTACCAGTTTGCGGGAGTCTACATTGCTATTCAAGCTGTGTTGACATTGTATGCTCAAGGTATGAGATCTTGTTTGATAAAAGAAAAGTTAAATAATAAAAAATAATAAATAAATGTTATGTTTATGTGTGGGCACTGGATAAGTGCACATTAGGGAATGCCTACAAACAAGTTGATATGGTGTTACCACAATAATGAATAATAAACATGGCCACAACAATAATCATATCTCATCATACTTCAACATTTATGTATTTTCTGACCCTGGGTAAAAACTGACAAATATGATTGTTAATAAGATAAACAAAAACAGACCTGAACAAATGGCTGCTACTCCCACTACAATGTTTGATCAAGCTGATGTATTTCACCAAGTGCAATGACCCCTTGTGGTGACTTATGTTACTGATCCCATTTTGATATGCTATCTGATGTAAATATAGCTGATAAACAATAATATTGTAGCTAACTCATTCCACTGGCACAATAACCAAGAGCAGATTTAAACCACAAAAGGTATCCTAAATTGCCAATGTGTTACAGAAAACATAAACATGAGCTGCAATAAAGCGCAGAATGAAACACTTTAGTATTTAGTTTGCATCTGAAATTATTTATTCAACCCCCCCATCAATATAGTAATTACAGGCCTAAAGCTATCCCATCTTTTGTTCCAGGGCTACTCACTGGAGTGGTTGTGGACTCAGGGGATGGAGTGACACATATCTGTCCAGTGTATGAGGGCTTCAGTCTGCCACACTTAACAAGACGTTTGGACATTGCAGGCAGAGACATTACTCGCTACCTCATCAAGGTTCCTACACAGCCATTTAACTCATAATTTATTTACGAATCTTCTCTGCACACCTAAATCTGTTTTACCTTGGGTTTCCAGTTGTTGTTGCTGAGAGGGTATGCCTTTAACCACTCTGCAGACTTTGAGACAGTGCGAATGATGAAGGAAAGGCTGTGCTATGTTGGTTACAACATCGAACAGGAGCAGAAGCTTGCGCTGGAGACCACTGTCCTAGTAGAGTCATACACGGTAATTATACTTCAGTTTATCTTTTAAGTTTCATGAGTGGTCAATTATAGTGTGCTCTTATAAACTTGTCATTTTAATAGGTGTAAATATGTGGTCTACAATTTATTCCATTACAGTACATACCATAGACTGTATAAAGAAGTGGTCTAAAGTCCAATTTATGGTTGTGCGTAAAATTGTCTGTGTTGCCGTGACCCCTTCCACAGAGCGTCTGCGTGTCTGCGACAAATGTGCAACTCCAAAATTTTCTAATTATGTATCAAAATGCCACAGACGGCAAGGGAAAGCGATACAGACAATAAGGCCTGTGATTGGTCCACTCTACATCCATACATTTCTGGTACTCTGCTTCACCGCTTTGTTTTGTATATATGAACGCAATCCCAGCCTCCTATCTTTGCGGCGTATAGATCTTGACGCAGAACCATAAATCAAAAACGACGGCAACAAGGCGACAGCAGCAGTGTGCATCAAGTCGACGCAGAACTATAATTCGGCCTTAAGGGTGACGTCACCTGTAGAGTTTGGCTCCAGTCAAATGAAGCTCACAGGGCTAGCAGTCATAGGAGAAAATTTGGAGCCAGGTCCATCTTACGAATAGGAATTTATTTATTTACAAAATAGTAAAATAAAAACACCAGGTTCATGTAGAGCGGGTTAAAATGAACATTTCAGGACCAAAATGACAAGGCTTACTGCCACAGTTACAGAGAGAGGGGTGACAATTTTCCAATGTAAAGTCAATTAGAAATTGAGTCCATAGAGCAGAGTTGATAGTGTTTGGTACATACATATTTTATTCACAACTTACTTTTGTGACTGATGAGGATGCATATTCACATTTTGTTTTGTCTCTACTTTGTACAGTAGGATATAAATATGTAGATTTTGGCCTACAGTTTAAGAAAATGTTTAGTTGCAAATGTAGTTTTAGTATTTCTTCTTTCAAAACTGGCAAAAAGTTGTTCTTTTCGAACTATAGCTATAGGAACTTTCGGATGTATTAATTTGAGTCCACATACTGAAGCATAATATTATTTTGGTTTCATGTTGACGACCACATGGCCACTGGTAGCTACTCCTTGAGGACAGGGCAGTGCTGCTGACTAATGTTTTGAAAGGACTCAAACATATGGTGGATAGTGCTGCTCCACCAGACTTGGGTGTCTTTCCAAAGACGTTTTCCATGCTGCAAGAACCACAAGTCTAAATGCAGAGGCTGGAGTCTGTGTTGTACACGCCTCAGTGGGCACATGTTGTGTCTCTGTACGGACTGTGACGAGTGTGTTTAGATGGGCAGGTATTCATCACATTGTGGGGAGTGAAGTTATAGGTATACACTGTCGCTTTGTGGAGCCCAAAAATCAGATCCCCATGAGATAGATCGTTCAATATCTGATCAACTATGTGGTTTAAAGTTAAGGTTTACGTTTATGGTTAGGCTAGTAATAATTATGGTTAAGGTTAGATTTGTCTTTAGGAAATTAATGCAATGCAATGTAATGTCCCCACAAAGCAGCTTGGAAACCCAACTTTTGTGTGTGTAGATATGTGAACACGTGTGTGCGTTTAAACAAGGAGGCCAATGTCAGAGTGGTGCTGAACTGTGTGACATCATTTCCTGTGTAGCCACTTTGCGGCGGTGGCTGGGCCTTGCTTCCTCCCTCTGCCCTCTCAATGAAGCCCTTCATAGAAAAACTCACACATATATTAGCATGCACTTTTGAATTTAAGTCTGATTGCATGAGTTTTATTTCACCAAATTAAATTTATTAGTGTACCAAACGGACATAGATTTAAGTATGACCTTTAAGCTGATGAGAAGAATAGGGTGTCTTGTTCATAGCACATGAGCAGTATCTTCTTTCTGTATTTATACCCTTAGGGTCTTTGTGTTTATATGGTCTCAACTAAATCTGTGCTAATACTTTTCTCCCTCTCCTTTTCATGTATTCTTCCCACTCATCTCCAGCTGCCAGATGGCCGTGTGATCAAAGTGGGAGGAGAGCGCTTCGAGGCTCCTGAGGCACTGTTCCAGCCTCACCTCATCAATGTGGAGGGTGTCGGTGTGGCCGAGCTCCTCTTTAACACCATCCAAGCTGCCGACATAGACACTAGGTCAGCATTACTTTAAACAAAAAAAAAACTAGAATATATATTTATGTAGGTCAAAATAAAAGTGTACAGTTTTTAGGACATTGCATTCTGTGTGTAAACTTTGCCTATTCTAAGTGTTTTTTTGTTTTTTTGTTTTAGGTCTGAGTTTTATAAACATATTGTGTTGTCGGGAGGATCCACCATGTACCCTGGCCTGCCCTCACGACTCGAGAGGGAGCTCAAGCAGCTTTACCTGGAGCGTGTGCTCAAAGGAGATGTAGACAAGCTTTCAGTAAGAAACTAGTCTCTAACTTTGTGGAATTAAGAGCTTTAGTAAAATTGAATTCAGTTATGGTTAAGGAGCGACAGTATCCTTGTTATTCCCTGATTAATGACTGGCTATAGGTGCAAGGGTTTTAGTAGTGAGACCTGAAAGTTGCATTTCCATTTGGCTGTCGTCATGGGAATTAGCAAACCAATTGAGATACTCGTATGAGGCTCATTCTGCTTTTTGATTGGATAATTCTCTGACGACATATAAAAATTGAGCCATCATGTGCATTGTTTTTCTAATTTAGTTTAGGTCAGCATTAGAATTGTTGCATTTGCCTTGTATCGCAAATAGGTAATGTTTAAGTACCTTTTAAAGTGGCTTAAGTGGAGTTACCGATTCGGGGGAGCTTTACTGTGAGTGATATCTAACCAAAACTTGTATCAGGGTTTTGGCTGACAAACTGAAAACTATCAGCAATCAAGTTGTAACATTGGAATGAGCAGTAAAGTCTTGCCAATGGTTTATTTAAATCCGTGATTTTAAGTGTAGGCCTAAAACAGGGCTGCATAAATAATGTTATACAGTACATTGTGTAAGTGGGCCCAGGTTACATTGCACTGAAATGGTTGAGAATCCCTTGCTTTAAGCTATTGTTGTCACTAGTGTTCCTGATGAAGCAGTGTCCACTAACCACCACCAGGTGGAGTTAGAAGCCAGCTCTTTTTCTTTTATCTTATTATATTTGTCTTCTTTTATAATTGTACTTATTAAGTTACTATAGTAATCTTACTATGTTAAATCAAATTGGTTAGTACTGGAGCACAACTGTTAAAAACAATACAGGGATGTTTAGATGTGTTCTGCAGCAATCTGAATTAAGTGTTGTAATTTGTCTTTGTGAGTTTTGTCAATTATCGATGCAAGTGTTTATACGATCATGTTATCATAAATGAAAGACTGAAAACATCCTCAAAGGTGAATGTGTAACAGAAAATCAGACACGAATGATTGAGCCACCATTGGTTGCCCCTCACTGTCAGATTTTTGATTGTGTCCTGTTGCTTTTTGTAGAAATTCAAGATCCGAATTGAGGACCCTCCGAGGCGAAAGCACATGGTGTTCCTGGGGGGAGCTGTGCTGGCTGACATCATGAAGGACAAGGACAACTTCTGGCTCACCCGAGAAGAGTATCAGGAGAAGGGAGTGCGTGTGCTGGAGAAACTTGGAGTCACCGTCAGATAAAGCATTGGATGGACAGACCATACAGCCACACACCTACAATACACCCACCCACAAACCCGCACACACACAGACACACACACACACACACACACACACACACACACCACATTTCACATTACAACCATTGGAGAGTATATATCTACCTTCCCCCCCATGTTGGGCGCAGAGTGTCCCCCTAACTGGTGGGAACACGGCCTTCACCTCCCTGCATCTCGCCTCTTTCCTGTCCCCCCACTGTCCTGGTCAGGGGTTGGCTCACGCTTCCCTCTCAAGCCCTGAAAAGTATCCTCCATGTTTGCCGATCACACACAAGCCTCTTACTTTCTTTTTAGTAGGTTTAGAAGGGCTAAGGTTGCCCTGCTGATGTAATTTGGAGTCGGAATTATTTATGTGTGTTGTAGTGGTGATGGTTAAAACCAGGAAGTTAAGTTGGATGTTCACTCTGCTTGTTTGCTTACCACTTACACAAGCAGACAACCATTATTTGTTTAGTAAAAAAAAACAAAAAAACATTTTGGTGGTAAACTGCAGATGCCTCAACCACTGCATTATAAGAAAGTTAAGTTTAAATCTTTAAATAAAAATAAATTTGTGGAGTGGATTAATTAATGAAGAGTTCTAAGGAAATGTTATAAGATCACAATCAGGGTCCACATGAAACAGCCACGGGCCGCACTCAGCGTCTGTTTAAGTGTGCTGATCACATTTTTATGTCGGTTTTTATAAATGATATCATGAATTTTCTTGTGGGAGGGGTTCCTCTTATTTGCTTTCTTTTGGGTGTATGAGTTTATATCTTTCAATAGAATTTTTTTCCATGACTTTTTGTTGCTGTGCACTATTACCATTGTAAATGGAGTACATTTATGTAACGAGTTCCTCCAGGTTTTTTAATGAAGAATTGTTAATTTCGATAAGGGACATATGCACAAAGTAAAGCCCTGAACTTGACAACAGCTGTGCGACGGTACTTCAGGTTTAGGGATGTGCTTTTTTTTCCACTTTGTTCCTTTGCTTTGCTTCTGCCTCCTCTGGGTTGAATACTGAAAATGGGTGCAAGCATTTGCCTCTTATGTCACGCTATATGGCACCTCTGTAGTTACCTATCTAATATCTTCAGATCTACCAAAGCATGGAGGCAGATAACTGTTTAAAGAGTTTAAACTATTAAATTTGAACAAGTAATGCCACAAAACAGTATTCTTGTGTATCAATACTGTTTTATTCTGTCTCTTAAGTATGTTTCCCAGTCTTAAATTCACCAACAGTTCGCATCATGCAGACTGGAGGCACTTCTATTTTGAGTAAAACAAATATATATTTTTTCCTCTTTCCATTGATTGTCTATCCAGTGCCAAGTGCAGTTATTGTTAACTGGATCACTCTATGTCTATATGTCTTTCTATTTTGTCATTTTTTTATTTTCTTGTGTTGTTCATAGCATAACTGCCTAACACAACGCTGATTTAAATAAAGAAAAGTGATTTATAAGGAATTCAGTGTTGTATGATTTTTATTTATCTTTTCCAGTATTTGTTTTTTCAAGAAAAGAAATACCTCAAGTGTTTTTCTAAAGAACAAAGATTTGTCAACTGATAAATTTGGCAGCACTTTTGTTCAACTAAACACAAAAGGATTCAACACTGGGACACAGAAGGAGGAAGTGGAAATGGAACGGTGGCAGAGCCCTGGCGCCACCAGAGGAAGAGGCTCTGTTTCCGAGCCTCAAATAAAGATCGCACCCAAACTCTTCCGGACCTGTTCCATTTTAATCCTGGACACTTCCCGTGACCCTGAACTGTTGCCTCTGACAGTATTTGAAGTGTACTCTGCATCAGCATCACACACCTAAGTCAAATGCATCCTGTGTAGAATTGAATTGAACATAACTAGATGTTCTTCTATGGACACAAGACATTAATTTTTTTTCTTTACCTGTATCACTAACATGTCCACAAAGAAGACTTCAGCTGTATATTTTTTTCCACTGGGTGAGAGTAGTTTTTTTTGTAAAGTTCTGATCTCAAGTGTCCAACAAATTTGAAAAGTACAAGTACATTTTAAAACAAATGGGCTTGCTCATGTTCAGAGATTTCAATTCTGCTGAACAATCGTGTTTTTTGTGTAAATATTTTTAAATGGTTGAAGTAGAAGACAAAAGCACTGATCAGGGTAAAGACAAGCTTAGTAAACTGCTGAAAGAATTGAGTGGCAGAGCTGTGTGCACCCAAAGAGGGCCAGACTGACCCCATTACCAGAGCAGATATCTTAAATGTTTGCACATGTGGACTGTGATGCTGTTTAAAGCTGTGGAGCTGCTTTGCAGGCCCCCAAAAGCCCTCGGGGACCTTTTTTCTTCTCTACCCCCTCCTCTGTTGTGCTCCATCATTATCGCCCACATGCTTTTCCAGAGACATCCTGAGCGAAACAGCCCCACGTCTTCGATGGCTATCACATGTTCCTGCTGTGGAGAGGCAGAGGGGAAAGCAGGATTCAGACTTAAGACTGGAGTTTTACTAGGACAGTGTTTCTTAAACTCCACACAATTCTACACAGGGTACCAACTTGGAAACATTTATCCAGAGATGATTAAAATAAAATTAATTGCTGTCTTTAGAACAAATATCAGATTGGACTTTATTATTTTTATGCTGAGAATTCTAATAAGCAGGCTTACTAGACAAAACCCACATGCCACGGGTGATACTGCGACCCACTATAGTGAGGGAAAGCTTTTTGAATCATAAATAAAAACTAATGGATGTACACGGACTCAAGATTTCTGTTTTCTCTCTTTATTGGAGGTGGAAAGTAAGACACACATTTTCACTGTTTTTCTCATAGACCTGGCCACTC